ACAAAGCAGGAATCCCTGCTCTAACTGGCTTATATTTAAACAAATAAAAAAGTCTCCAAATTACGCTTGAATCCTGCTAACCACAAATTCATCTCTCTGTAGTTCTTTTTAACAATGCACATGCCATTCTTTAAGGGAATAATAGCCAAATGCTTGCTAAAAAGGCTGACTAGAGGGATGGGGACATGGTTCTAGCTGTCTGAAATATCCAAACAGAATCTTACCTGATTGTTTCTAAAGTAATGGATAGAGAAGAGTAACAGATTGAACCTTAAGTATGTCCTCAGAAGAGATTGGAATTAGGATAAAACAGCTTAATATAGTCTCACTTGTAGACCGGAGATGAAATTGGGGAAATATCATGCAGAAGGGGAGGAAATGGCTTTTGTCAAGAAATTATACTATGGTTAAATGCAGGATACAGCCATAGATAAGTCTCACCCATCACACTAAGCCATGCTATGATTTACATGGTTTGGCTCAACATATTGTCCTTAGAATCTAACCATATTAGATGGTAGAAGGCAAACTGTAGCCCCTGAGCCTCATTTTAGCTGCCTCTTATTTCCTACTATTTGGAGTGGGAAACATATTAAAACTATAGCATAAGTCCTAAAAGAGGTAAAACAACTTTGCATAGTATTTTGCTAAAGTTGAAAATAAATCACCCTAAGGTCCTAAAAGTCAATAAAATAATCCTGGTTACATGTGCATATTGTACCACTAAGTTTGTGCCATTCCCCCATCTTTTATGGTTCTCAAATGTCTCAAAAATTACATCCCACAAAATATTACGTGTAGCTTTCAGCCACAAAAATGCCCATTCTTGCTTTTTGACTTAGCATGAGGGGGTGAACGCAGGCACACAATTAAAATTCAAGAATTCTGAGTCAAGGAATGTACAGAGGACGTAAAGAGAATTCACAGCCCTACAGCCCTATGTTCCTAGTTAGCTCAAGCTGTGTTTACTTCATTAGGATATTTAGAACTAGTAAATTTTCTTGTGGCTGTACATTTGGGATTTAAAAATCCTTGCCAATCTACTGTAAATTGCTGACTAATTTACTCTCAGACTCAGATCTACCTTCTGCTCAAGTTATTTAGACCACAGAAATAATTTGCTTTTGCTCTGGACTGCTCAACTCTTATGTTGAATAATAGCAAGAATAGACACATTTTTTTCCTTTGGACTTACAGGCCAAAGGAGATAAGATATTTTTAAATCAAAGAGACCATTATACCTGAATAAGTAATAGTGTCTTTAAACCTCAATAATACTTGAGCCAAAACCAATCTGAAAAATATTCTAAAGGCACAACTTGAAAATCTATTCCTTGGGGTCACTACCCTTTAAAAGTGTGAAGATTGCAGACACATCTCTTTTATTGAAGTGTATTTAAATTATAAAAAGGGCATGAGATTGTCACAGATTATGGTACACAGCAAAGTAGAGTGTGTGTGTGTGTGTGTGTGTGTGTGTGTGCGCGCGCGCGCGCGTGCACATGTAAAATATTTCATGATCCTTTTAACCAGAACAAATTATAAAAGATATCTAGAATTGAAAATTAGGAAATTTCTAAATACATTCAGAACTCAATTTGTTAGGTGCCTGAGTTAAACAATAGCACATGAATTCACTTCTAATTACCCTGAGAGTCATAACCTTCTGGAGGTCTCCTGCACATTTTATTAGATCTATTGCTTTCTACTCATCTTCGGTGTGTACATTTGCATCAATCTACATCCCCATAAAGTATCAGTATAAAGTTGATGTCTTATGTCTGTTTTCTACATTTTGACAACACAACAGCTCAGCAAATCTAATTAAATCGTGGATTTGCAATAATTTAAACATTATCCTGCCCATGTTTTTCTTTCCATTTGGCAAATGGAATAGGCTCAAATATTTAAGGGTGTACAAATGGAACAAAAACAACTCTACTGCGCTTAGACAATTTGGGAATGTTATAATCAGTTTGTTTTCAGCTTTTTTTTTTTTAAAAAAAAAACACCCTTAGTGCTGTTCTGATAATAGCTAGCATAATTTGCCTCCAGTTTATTTTTCTGACATTTAACATATGTAGTAATTTTAGCTCCATAGTTTTGCATTTTGGGATACCACAGTCACCTTTTAAATAAGCACCAGACAAGGCTGTTCCATGTTACGGTTGATGAAGAAGTATTTGAGATTTTCCTTGTTAAGACATTGCTGGCTGAGGAATTTTGGGAGTTGAAGTCCACAAGTCATAAAAGGGCCAAGTTTGAAGACCCCCCCAATCCATGGTCCGCAGAATTCCAGAAACCAGACCACGCAAACAAGCAATGCCCCATCTGCGGGATGCAAGCAGCACATGAAACCATGCGGAAAACCCGGTCCCTGGTGCCCAAAATGTTGGGGCTACTGATCTAAACAATGTAACATTTCTCTACTACTTTTCAGGCAAAAACCAATGGTACATTTTTTTAGTGCTCTTTGTCCATCTGTATCACAAAGGGTAAGGCTGCCCTCTAGTGAAGCAATGCTATAATTGAGTGGGTAACACATACATCTGCATCTCCTGGGACATTATACTAGAGCACTGAAGAGAAAAATTCCCTCCTCCTCCATGCTCTTGTAGAAATATCTGAAGTACAATTATGTAAATCAAAATCTGGTTCATCTAATTTTCCCTGACTGGGGGAAATTAACATACTCATCCCCAAACCCTTCAGAAAAAGAAGTTAGCAGCATCATTTTCAAATTCACTATGTAAGCAGAGCAGATCAATTCTTTCTCTAGATTCTCCCCCCTTCAATACTTTTAAAAAGTCTTAAAAGATATTATGTTTCAAGTAAGTATTTAATACCTTCATTAAATTATTTGGACAGATGCATGAGAAAATTTACCATACAATATGCTCTTTGCATAATGGTGTCTGCTTTCTGCATGCTGATAAAAATGAGACACACTAAAAAGCAAAACAAAAAAAACTATAAGTTAATATTTTGAAACAGACGCAGCTCCAAATCCTTTGAGCAGCTAAAATGCCAAATTGTTTCCTGCTGTTTGAGGTGATTGTGTGTGTGTGTGTGTGTGTGTGTGTCTGGACTCAGGAGTTAGCGTTGACTCCTATTAACTGCTTGGACAAGACCCTGACTTATCTTGGCAAGATTTCAGAAGTGTTTTGCCATTGCTGTGGTGGCGCAGTGGTTAGGATGCAGTACTGCAGGCTAACACTGCTCACTCCAGGAGTTCGATTCTGAGTGGCTCAAGGTTGACTCAGCCTTCCATCCTTCCAAACCAGATTGTTGGGGGCAATAGGCCGACTCTGCAAACCACTTAGAGAGGGCTGTAAAGCACTGTGAAGCGGTCTAAGTGCTATTGCTATTGCCTACTTCCTGGGCTGAGAGGGTATAACCGGCTCATGGTCTTCTGGTTTCTAGATTGGTGCCTTATACTCTACATCAAACTGGTTTTGGAGTGGAAACATTTAAAAAACACACAGCAGTAGCAGAAAGGAGTCTCCCTGTGTTACAGGAAGGCTCAACGGAAGGGATGTCTCAGAATAAGAACAGCTAACACAATTCCCCCATCTTTCAGAGGTCTAGGATAAAAAGACCTATATGATGTTGCCCAATTCTCTTAATAAAATCAGGTAATAAATACAAGAGCTAGCTAGCTAACAAGTGGGAGATGAGGTGGGATGCTTGCAGAGAATACTTTACTGTAATCAAGAATTTGAGTAAACTATATTATGCAGACAACCTCTCCTGTCCCTTCAAAACCCTGGTGATATTTCCATGCTGGCATGCCTGTTTATTATTGTATACTGAACCTCAGTTCAACCTCATACAGAAATCATTCTTGACTATGCAAACCATATTCACACAAATCTCACTATATAGCACTGTATACAACTAGAAGATTTTAAAATAAAAAAAATCAGAAAAGATTTTAATAAATAAATAGTTCATGACATTACAGCAGAAGGCGATTGCTTAGATCTGTCCTCTAAAGCAAAGACTTGAAACTCACAGAGACTAGAGATTAATTCGTTTCATATTCAGTCTTGGATAAATCAGTTCGTGACTGAGTCTTGCCTAAGATAGTTTCTTTTATCATGCAGTACAACAGACTAAACCAGTTATTCAGCTGAACTGGAGAACAGGAAAAAACAACACAAGAAATGTTTCTTCATCATTCAGTCCACATGGAGTAGTTCGATCAGAGTTTAACCGAGAAAGATGATCCACAAGAACAACCTTGTTCTGCCTGTGGATTGTTCACTACTTGGAACGAGCTGCGAATTAGCTCCTGGTTGAAGTCCACCATTGCTCCTTTCACAAAGCTTAAGCTGTCCAAGTCCACAACCACTCTGGCACCGTCTTTCTCAAAAACTCTGGAAAAGGAGCACAGATAATATGTCATGGTATTTGCACAAATCTAAAATACATGTAGCTTTAAACTCCAGTTCACTATAGTTCCACTCCAGTTCATGTGTAAACAAACATTCAAAGGAGGCTGGGAATCTTTTAGGAATCTTGTCCAATTACCTAAATTTTGTTTATTATTTGTTTTTGCATTATTTTTAATTGTTTTGAGTCATCTAAAGATACACATTTAGAAATGAATAATAGTGATATAAAGGCTACCTGAATAGAGCTCTGGAAAGAGAGCTCAAAATAACTTGAGTCTCCTCCATCCAATTTCATCCACCAGTCTCACCCTATGAAGTAGAATAGGCTGAGAAAGAACAAGTGGCCCAAAGTCACCCAATGGTGTTCCACAATTGTGTAGGGACTTGGCTCTGGTGGATCCAGGTCCAATACTCACCCCCCTATAATTAAATATATGTTGCTCTAAACCCTGGAAATGATATGTATATGTTCAACAGCAGAGAACAGTAAAATATGAATTTGGGAACAAAGGAATTGTTATTCAACCACCATCCTTCTTTTTCCACAGTTCTATAATTCTCTCATCTGTCACACACAGTGTAATCTATGCACTCACCTGTCATCAGAATTGACAACTGTATCCAAGGAAAATTTGTATTGGAAACCTGAACAACCACCTCCTTCTACCTGCAGCCTGAGAAACTCAGACCCTATTGCAATCTCCAACAGCCTCTGTCAATAAAGAATGGCAAACATTTGTTAACCATGTTTATTATCCATTTGAATTAAACTATTAATGGCTTCAAAGGAATGGTGAGCACAAAAACAGAATTCAGGTATAGAACGCATAGCAAAATTATGCCAGCATTTTTTTGCCACATGTTCTATGTGCCTTATCTATCTGAAAGTCTCACTGTAGAAACACATAGTAGAATCAACCTGTCTAATCCTTTGTTGCTTCTAACTAAAATCAAGCTTAACTTGTTCCTCTGTTTTATCAGTTGAATCAAACATTTGTGGTAGTTGAAACAATTAGGACAAAACAAATGACGTTTATTGTAGTTTATTCAGAAACGTCAAGAGGTTTGTTTGAGAGAGCATACTAACACAAGTGTATGGCTTATATTTATACTGTGCAATAAACATCTAGGTTACCCCTAGAAGGTTATACTTCCTCAAAGCATTCTTTGATTTCGCAAAGTGTTAACAAAGTTCCTCTTTATTCTTAAGCATGCAATATAGGTAGTCCTTGATTTACAATCATTCGTTAAGTAGCCCTTCAAAGTTACAACGGCACTAAAAAAAGTGACTTATGACATTTGATCGTTGCAACATCCCCCATGGTCATGTGATTAAAATTCAGATGCTTGCAATTGACTCATATTTATGACGGTTACAGTGTCCCAGGGCCATGTGACCACTTTTTGCAGCCTTCTAACAGGCAAAGTCAATGGAGAAGCCAGATTCTCTTAACAACCATGCTGCTCACTTAATAACTGCAGTGAGTCACTTAACAACTGCTAAGAAAGGTCATAAAATGGGGCAAAACTCACTTAACTATCTTGCTTAGCAACATAAATTTGGGGCTCAACTGTGGTCATAAGTCAAGGACTACCTGTATTTAACTTTTTCTTAGCCTCTGCTAAAACAAACCTTTTGAAACTTGTATCCTTAGAGATTGTAATTAAGTAATTAAGTAACTAAAAATTGCACAGTTACCCCAGTTACACATAACTACACACAATTTCATTCCATTCCAGGCATTCCATTCAGCATCCAAAGTGGGTAAGAACACTCTAGATGTGATTTAGGAATGTATCTGTTGGCTACTCCTTATAGAGGGCATGGTAGCCATGTAGTTCAGGAAAATAAGTATTCCTGTTAACCTAAATACATTACTTTCCTGAGTTTCTGCTGGCTGCTGGCTAAGGCATGCTGGCTGAGGAATTCTGGGAGTTGGAAGTCCACAAGTCATAAAAGGAACAAGTTTGAAGACCCCTGCCCTATTAAAATGCTAAGGACCAATGCCCCTGCAAAAATCCAAATAATCCTTGCTGTATTTGAATGTAAATATTGCATACTTCTAATGTGTACCCTTTGAATTGAGTCAAACATACATTTCGTTTACACCTATATTTCTCTATGACAGATTCATAAAATGGTGTACCGCACGGGCACAGCAATCAGCAGTCTGTACTGTACTCCTGGAGACATCCAATGGCTACATAGGTCTGGAGACCTCCAGGGAATCATACCTTTATGCAGCTCTCACTGAGATAGATCTGCCCATTACTAGAATAAATTTGGGTCTCT